GACCTCCTGGCTCTCTGTAACTCCCTGACGTGGGGGATGTGTGTCCTGCCAGGGCTGCAGGGAGAGGAGAGAGGGAATGGCCTTGAGCTGAGCCAGGGCAGAATCAGATTGGATGTGAGGAGAAATGTTTTCCCTGTGAGGGTGTTCAGCACTGGAATATTGCCCAGGGAGGTGGTGGAGTCACCATCCCTGGAGGAGTTGAAGAGTTGTCTGCGTCTGATGCTGCAGGATCTGGTTTAGGGGTTCCAGCAGTGACAGGTTAATGGTTGGACTTGATGCTCTTAGAGGGCTCCTCCAACCTTGATGATTCTATGAATATCAAATTGAGACATTCAACCCAGATTCACTGTTTCTTTTAATTCTTACTGTTGTATCTCTTAGTACAAGTACAAAGAAGCCCACGAGAAGCAGAAGGGGCACTACATCGGGTGTCCCAGCGCCAAGGACGACCCCAAGCTGGTGTTGGCCGCGCGCGCCATGGCGCTGCAGAACGACCGCCTGTACAAGAAGGCCTACAACGACTCCAAGACCCAGATCCACATCCCAGCGGATGCCCTGTCCGTGCAGGCAGCCAAGGAGTGCCAGACCCTGGTCAGTGACACTGACTACCGCCAGTACATCCACCAGTGGACGTGCCATCCTGACCAGAACGACGTGATCCACGCGCGGCAGGCCTACGACCTGCAGAGCGATGTGAGTGAGAGCAGCTGTAGAAAAGCTTTATGGCAGGTCTGGGGAGGGTCTGTTTGTTAGTGAACCTGCAAATAAATATACCTTCAGCTGGATGATCCTTTCCAAATCTTTCACTCTCTGGGGCCAGAAATGCTCTGGGCAGTTCATAAGGAGACCATGTTTTCTTGGCCTGATATAGAATATTTGCTTGCAGATTGTTTACAGGTTATGCTACTGGTTTGCGTTCAGTATCTTAAGAGTATCTTTGTTGTGCAAATCAGGGGTTTAGATGGGTGTGGAAAGGACCTGGTACACCACAGCTTCATTGGCTGCTTTTTGTGTAACTGTATGAGGAGGAGGTTGGGGAAAGCCTTCCTGCACACAGAGTTAGAATCACAGAATGGTTTGGGTTGGAAGGGGCTTTAAAGCTGATCTCATTCTAATCCTTTCACTACACCAGATTACTCAAAGCCCTGTCCAGCCTGATCTTGAACATCTCCAGGGATGGAGAGTCCACAGTCTGTCTGGGCCATGAGTCCTCTCTGCAGTGTCAATAACCCTTGGTTTGTTTGTAGAACGTGTACAAGTCTGATCTGGAATGGTTGCGAGGCATTGGCTGGATGACAGAAGGCTCAGTGGAGGTGATCAAAGCCAAGAAAGCCCAGGAACTCCTGAATGACAGGTTGTATCGCACGCGGCCTGGGGAGCTCAAGTTCACCAGCATCACTGATGCACCAGATGTTGTCCTGGCCAAGATCAACTCTATGCAGCTCAGTGATGTAAGCTCACCTTTCACTTTTGTGCTGGCATTTCATTTCTTGGAGGTGGAGAGGAGAATTTCCACTGTGGGCATGACTAGTTGGAAACCTTAGCCAATGGGAATTACCAAAGAGTTCCTGTTGGTGAGGTTTTTTCAGTGTTCAGCCATAGTGAAATGTCATTGTGCTTCCTTTCTCCTCAGCGTCTGTATCGTGAGGCCTGGGATAAAGACAAGACACAGATTTCCCTCCCTCCTGATACTCCTGTGATGCTGCAGTCCAAAGTCAACGCTCTCAACATCAGCAGTGTAAGAGAGTAAAATTAAATGCTTGTGTAGTGTTAGAAAATGAAGAGTGACAGCTGTTCTTCCAGTTTTTGACCTGTGTCTTTCAGGTTTTGATGTAAATGGAGGTGTACAAACACCATCTTCTAATATGCTTGTATTGTAAACAGGAAATTATATCCAGAGGTTCTTTAGGTGGTTTGTTTGTGAGCAAACTCCAAAGTTTAGTGTGCAGTTCCACACAACTCCTGCTCCCTTTGACAGAACCTGCTACATACTTTCCATGGAGCTGTTGCTGGAGTCTGGAAGCTCATCAACCCTGACATGTCTGGCAGATTTGTGTTGTTTCACTCATTAGTTATGGGACTTCAACACTGAAGATTCTGTAAAGCTGGA